CACGGATGCTGAGGAGCCACAAATAATAAATTTCCATAACTTGTACAGATGCTAAAAGATTCAGAATTACTGAGTTGCAATATTTACGCTATATTTAAAGTGGTATGAGGGTGGCTGGTGTTTTAAGCATATTTTTCTGAGAGCCAATGAAGAAGAGAAAAAGCAAGTATATTTGCCCGAAAAATAGAAGGTCTGTTTAGATTTTGGTAGGTGGCAGTGGGATATAGGGGGAAACACTGGGGAAGGTGGTGAAGGAAAGGGCACAATCAAGAATGGTGCCAGTTTTCCGGTTTGGGGGCTTGAATTAATAGAGGTGCCATTTACTGAGATGGGAGCTACAATAGGAAATATCACAATTGGGAGTGGCGATAAGATGATCTCCATTGTGGGCACTTTCTATTCAATGAACCTATAGGACATTTTAGAGATGACACATATATAGTGAGCAGATGAAGATTTGGATATATGGTTTTGAAAATGTACTAAAAATAGAGAATATTGAGTCACAACTTTATTGATAGGAATTTAATTCTTGGAATTAGATGAGATTGCCTAGTGAGAGTGTAATGTAAGAAGAGAGCAAGATTTAGAACAGCCCATCATAGGTTTTTAAGAGACAGGCAGAGGTAGAGGAACCCATAAAGCTGAGAAAGTTTGACCTAAGTCGTAGGAGGAAATGCAAAATGACATTTATCTTCTCTACTTTGACTTTGTAAATTTCATGTTATATTGAGTACGCTGGTTTTAGTGTGTATTAAAATCACCTGGGGTGCTTGCCAAAAAATTTGGTTTCCTAGACTCCCCCACAGAGATTGCTATATGGCAAGTGCAGAGTGGTAGCCCATTCATTCTGTGTTAACAGGCATCCAAGATAATTCTAACATAGGGGATTCCTAAAATAAACTTTGAGAAACACCTCTTTAGAAAACAGTGTGAAATGGCTGAAAAAGCAAGGCTTTAGAATCACTTTGCTAGGGTCCTGGCTTTTACTGTTTACTGTTTGTCTGACAGTGAGCAAATGGGTGAAAGTTTGTTTTCCTATCGGTGTTGGGAATATAGTATGTATCTTCTATTGCTTAGAATTATTATCAGGTATATATGAGATATGTTCTATTAAGTTCTTGACATATAGAAGCTCAGTAAATGTGAGTTGTCTTTTTGACAGCTTAAAAAAAAACCCAGAACCCAGCTGTAAACCTAAAAGCCACTGAAAAAGTAGTAGGAAATTGCTCTTATTAGCCTCATGCATTTTGTTTTGTAGAAGATCAGAACGAACTGCTTTTTACCTTGAACCTACTGAATTAGGATTATGTAAAATTAAGTTACTGATATAATAGATTTCATTATTTAGTTTTTCCTGGCAGCCTTCAGTTCTGTAGATATTAAATTCAAACAGCATGATAGAGGTAAGGTTAAAGCGTGAAACAGAAGCTGAGAGAAGTTTAATAGAGGAACAAATACCTCAAAAATTCTGAGGGCATCAGTGTGTCACAATATAATAACTAATTAATACTCAAAATATTACTATATTAAGAAAACAACCTTATGTTTGAAAGACTTGTTTGAGAAGTTAGGAAAGTATATATTTTAGAAAGCTTTCCATCACAATGATTAACATTTTTAAAAGTTTGGCACTTAAAGGAATAAGTTTTGCTGTTTCTGAAGTTCACCTAGATAACATATTAGCCTTTCACAGTGCTGGGTAAATGGAATTTATAGTCTTATTTCCTATTTGATTGGCATTTTACTATTTTTGATAATTTTGCCAACAGGTATCCTTAAAACTATCCCAAAAAGCACTGTGGAACTAATCTATACGTAAATTCTTATGACTTACCATATAATGATGAAGTTTCTCTCTCCAGAAGAGAAACTAATGTGAAAGGAGAAGAGCAGTGTTGTCTTGTGGCCATGTCGGCCCATTTCATGTCTTGAAATTCTTGTCTTGTATTGGCTAATTGGAAATATGGCCACCTCATGGTTATCGTTCTGCAAAAGCTATTAGAAAGAGTTACGAGTTTCCTCTGTTCTCTTCAATCTTTCTGGCCCATACCCCTACCCAACTTGGATGTTTACATAATTGTTCATCCTCAAATACAATCAATCAGCTGAATAGGTCTAAATATTAGTATCTTTTTATTATTTTTACTTGGTTAAACAACAGCACCTTTTGTTCTGCAGAGTTAGGTCTTTGATGGAATGTTTTCTTTTGTTAGGTCTTTTTGGTTATTGGCATGTATTACTCTTCTTCCAGAAAACCCATTTTTCTTAAGTTTTATTTTTGTCAGCCCTCCATATTTATCATACTTCCCTTTGACCCTTCCCCCTCCCCTTATTCTTATTTTCTATCTGCTGAGTGAGCTTTTTAGGGTATATCTGATCTGATTTTCCACAACGTTAGTTCTACTTTTTATCACTTGTAATACAGCATTTGTTTTGCTGCTGCATTTTCCACTTCCTTATACAGCCTATTTGTTCCTTATTTTGCCAGCTTCATTTTAATTTCTACTTGTCTCAGCCTTTTCTCTTTTTATATTACGTTGTTTTGTCTTTCATCTCTTTCAGAATCTGTGTTTACTCTTATAAAATATGCAAAGCAATTGACTAAAGTTTACTTCCATGTCTCCTATTTGCTTGTGCTTTCTACTTCTCAAGTGCTATGTTGTGTTTCTGTTTTACATAATATTTTTATGGCATCTGTATTTGCTGTTCCTCCTTTTACTTACCCTTGAACAAGTATATGTCTGTACAGTCTGGGATGCTTACCTATAAATTGGATTGTGGCTTCTGTTTCTTTTCAGTAGAAGTTCTGATACATATCCCCACAGCATATTTCTAGGGGGTTTGGCTAAAATGAATCTGCTAGTCTAAGTTGGGGTTGCCTAATTTTGCTGCCTAATTGTCTTATTTCTAGATTATTAGATAATCTAGCCCAGAAAGATCTGTTCCCCTCAAGTCTTCATAACTAAGTCTTTGTAGTGCTGATTTTACATCTTCAGATATAGACTCCCACTCCTTAGGCATTTCCACCTCCATTTAAGTTACAATTGATGAGAATTTTAGATGCAAATTGGAGGTAGAAGGCACAGGTTTTAGGTCAGATGGACCCAGTGAGTGGAGCGATTGAATCCTTGCACAGCAAGGGAGCAGCTTTCCTCTAAATCTGGTCCCTGAAAATTCTCTTTCTTCTGGAGAGTTTAAGGAAATCTCTCAAAATTGTCCAGTATGGCTTTGATATTTTGCCTCACATTACTTCCACTTTTTGTAGAGAATATTAAGTTCCTTTTGTAGTTTAGTAGATCATTGGGAAGGAGGTGTGAAAGGTCTGATAAGGCGTTCTAGTTTTTATCTTAGCAAACCTATAATGCTGTCTGGCTTGTTTCAAGTGTTCGGTATCAATTTGTCTAATGAGTGAATGAATGATTTAGTCTTTTTTGAGAATTTTAGAAGAACCAACCATGCTTAACTATTTATTATTTTAATACTTTTTTCCCAATAGTTTCCTAGTTAGGTGTCTTACAAAATATATCCTGGGAGTACCAGATACATCCTAGGAGTACCATAAAATGTTCTGTGAAAAAAGGATTCCACGGACAAATAATTTTTGGAAATGCTACATACTAAATTTTTCTTTTAGAAGTTTAATTAGTATGCAAATGTACTAAGGGCCCCAAGAAGGCCTAAACTAACAAACTGCTTAACTCTGTTTAATTCAGCAAAATGTTTCCCAAATTGATTTGATCACAGAAACCTACTAATATCTTTGAGAAACGCTGCTGTAATCTTTACATTTTTCACAAAAACTGTGCAGTACTTTAGAGTGTATTGTAGAATTTTTTTCATGAAATAAACTTTGATTGTTTCTTCAGACATTCGGAGAGATGTAAATTATGACTAAATATGATTAGAGTTTCCCAGGAACTGGGATTTTTTTTTTCTCATTCGATATTTTGAACAAGATATGATCTCTATGATCTTTTAAAAATGCATGTTAGTTACTTCAGGCATTTAACTTGTGTCTTTAAGAAAAGGAGATAAATCTTTTATTGGTACACCGAACTGAGAAAGCACACGCCACAACATGAAAGCATTTCCGTATTTACCCCGAGCTCAGTAAAAGAGTTTGTCCCCACTCATGGTTTTAATATTGTTTGTTAATATAGGAAATAAGCCTATATCTGTGCAATTTTTCTATCAAATGGTATGATTGGGTGAAGTAGGAATGCTGACTAATTTTATTTTCAGTTTCAGAATATTAAGTACTTTGTTATATTCCCACTTTATTTGTCTTTAAAATAATATCTGATCAAAGCTCAGATGATTGTTTGCCTTCATCATGTGAGATTCAAATGTGCTTTACTAGTTCAACTGTTCACCGACTGGTTAAGAAACGTTCCGTCTTTTTTTGGTAACTAATGCTTCTGTACCTGCTTTACCGCTCTTCTCTAACCTTATAGTTTGTTTTACCTTCACATGTTTTTCGTAATTAGTAGTTTAGTTTTGGTTTGCTTTTTAAGTTTAGAGTTAGATCTGTACCAAGTTAGGGGACCTTTTTTTAATGAAAAGTTTTGTTTTAGAAGGTTCTTTTTAGTGGTGGTGTTGGGGAGGGGTAAGTGAAATGAGATAACAGTAAATAAAGCCCATCAAGTTTTCAGCTGGACAGATTTTCCCTACTAAATCTGAAAGAGCCACAGTTTGTGGTGAGTTTGTCTAGCAAGTTCTAGTTCCTGAATTTTCCCTACCCAAAAGTGTCATGTTTCCATACTTCCTTCTGAAAAAGACCACAATCTGCAGACCTCCTTCTTAAATCCAATCATTCCTAATACTTCCATGTTTCAGAATTAAAAATGATTTCTAAAAACATTATCTAACCATTGTATTACTAAAGCAATATGACCAAAAAATGTTATTTCCAAGAATTGACAAAGAAAATTTAAATAAAAGATAATTGAGCATTAATATGTAATAAATGAAATTCTAACTGGTTTTATCTTCTACAGACAAACAACAGAAAGGTGAATTCGCAATAGATGGCTACAGTGTCAGAATGAATAACACTCTAAGAAAGGATGGGAAGAAAGATTGCTGTTTTGAAATCTCTGCTCCTGATAAACGTATATATCAGGTTGTAGTTTTTATGTTGCCTTGAAATTAAGTTGATAAAATGTTTTGATTAATACTTTCCCTGACATGTTAACAGTAATAAAAATACTGCTGTTTAAATACATTATGAAGTGAATAGTCTAGGAGGAATTTTTTTAAAATTTCAGATTAGTTCAAACATTATCTTCTTGAAAATGATAAAGAGAATACATAATTTATCAGTTAGTTAACGTGTTGCATTTATATCTAATATAACTATGTGATCTTCTAAAAGAAATATATAGCAGAAAAAGTAAAATTATCAAAAGAAAAATATCAGAGTGATAATAAATATTGTATTGCTAGGAGTGTGGGAGAAAATGAAGGTAAAGGTACATATCAGCTCTGCAATTCAAGAGCTATCAGCTAGGCATCAATGTGGAATGTATGTTTAATAAGTTTTAAATATCTGAGATTGCAGTTGAAAGCCAGTTAATTAAGTTGTCAGGTGGTGTGTTGGAATCTGACAAGAACATTTTTAAGAAAACTGTATCCAGCAGTCTAAAGAAATTCATGGGTGTCTTCTAATTGTCAAGGGCAAATTTTGTTCATCACTTCTGTCTTTGACATTGATGAAGAGAAGCAGCTTTTTTTCCTGCACAGCTGCCAGCTGCTGATCAGAGTTTCAAATTCATCATCCTCTGCTTCAATTACATAAATTTGTCAAAATTAACTGTACATTATAAGAAGCATCCTTGCAAGAAAAGTTCCCATAGACATGAAAAGAATTACTAATAGTCTTAAGGAAATGCTAAGAATCAACATACCTTTCATTTCTACCGTGGTGATTTTCATTTTTATTGTTTGTTTTTTATTAGTTTACAGCCGCTTCTCCAAAAGATGCTGAGGAATGGGTACAGCAGCTGAAATTTGTATTGCAAGGTAAGAGAAATCAATTGTACAAGTTATCACAGTCTTCAAATACTAAATAACTGAGTAGTTTGGGTTTTCATATACAAAGCTTACTGACTTCTATGAGAATGACCACATGAATGTGACTGCTGTTAAAATAGACACAGTCACTTCAGCTTTCAAAAAGCATCTTTTCTATAAGTACCAATTCGCTTACTTTAAAATTCACATATTTACAAAACAATTTTTAAACATGTTTTTAGTTAAGGATAACACATAGCAGTATTGTTACTTTGTAGGGCTGCATTTTTATGAATTATAGTTTTTAAAATATCTTCTGCATTCTTTTAAAATTTACTTTATGAAATGTATTTTATAGATATGGAATCTGATATTATTCCTGAGGATTATGATGAGAGAGGAGACTTATATGATGATGTTGATCATCCTCTACCAATAAACAATCCACCAACAAGCAGTCAACCAATAGATGAGGAAATTTATGAAGAACTTCCAGGTATTTACTTTCTGATGATTCATTTAAAGATTTTAGGGGTGTGTGTGTGTGTATGTGTGATTTTCCCTCAGATTGACAATTTGAGTAGAAAATGGTGAGCTATTGAGAACAAGGACAAAGAATATCTTCAAAACTATTTTACAAAAGGGGTTCTGCTTGAGATATTTGAAGTGAGTAGATGTAACTTATGAAAAGCGAATGAAACATTAAAATGAAGCAGATACAATCCTAATCTCTTGGGACTTTTGGCTCATTAGCATTGTTAATGCTACATAATTTTTTAATTAAAAAATTGACTTGCCTTACAGTTTTTTCCACCAACTCACACATTGTTTTTTATTTTACATCTTGGAACTTCCATTAACCAGAAGTTCTATGCATACCCCATATGTCATCAACTTCTGCCTCATATTTCTCTTTGTTTATAGTATATTGCATTGTCTTAGAGGAATGTTGTTGAACTACAAACAAAGGCCTTCTGAGGCTTCATGTTTTCCTGTTGCTATTTTAGCATCAATATGAAATAAAAAAGTTTTCTTATTCCAAATACTCAGGCCTGGTTTAGTGTTTACATGCCTTAGTGTCTGTTACATAACATAAAATTAATTATCTGTTAGCTAATTGTGGTCATAAGGATCAATCTAAAATAAAAAGAAATTTAGGAAACATGAAAACATTCAGGAAATTGTTATATTACTAATACTCTAGGTTGAAATGAGCTTTTCTGGCTATTAAAAAATCAGTAATTAGAGAGGAAAAAGGTATGATAAGCAGTATATGCAAGATTTAACTAGTACATCTCATGTAGAGAAGCCATTTTTCTCTGAATAGAACAATTTAATGATACAATGTAAACCTTTAAAATTGATTTCAAAAATACTTAAAATGTTCTAAATTAACATACAAATGTCATTTTCAGTACTATAAAGCATAATAACAAGAGTATGGATATTAGAGTAAAAAAAATTTAAATTCTGGCTGTGCCATAACTGACTTTATAAGTTAATTTCTTCATTTATAAAATGGAAATAATATTATTGGGAAGGGTAGGTGAAGTGATTTATCGAAGGCTCTCAGCACAGTGCTTGATCATAGCAAGCCCACGATTAATTGTAACATCACTGTCATTTTTGTTTTTATTACTGTATCTGGTGAATTCTTCCAAGTACTTATGTGGTGGTACAATAATGGTTTTCTAACCAAGTAAAAATTAATAATTTTAACAGTATTATAAACTTAAGATATAAAAACTACATATGCATCTACATACCGTCTTTTACTACCCCAGACGATTAGTATAAAAGTGTAATTTTATGAGGAATAGTGATCTGTGTATTTCAGTTATTTAGTGGAACTACATGTTTATTAAGCCCTTCCTTTCTGGTTTGCCCTAAGGAAATGACATCTGCTGTAGCATCAGTTATCCTGAAGTAGGGAAGAATATTCCCTGGCTGCTTGTTTTTAGTCATACCATATCATTAATACAATTATTTTAGTCTTTAAGATGTTTAAAAGAACTTGTGACAATGTATACTCATAAAATGGAAGCATGGAGTACCTTTAAACATGATGTTACTGTCATTACATCCTTTTAAAACCCTGCAATAAATGGGTTACATTATAATTGTTGAATTAACTGTTCAAGTTCTGTATTTTTTTCAACTTGGCTATTCTCTCCCCACCCCTAAAGAAAAAACAAATTGATCAGGAATAAAGACCAAATATTCATAGTTATTTTCATAACCAAGACCTAAGGAAGATCTGCTATAAGTAGCTTGAAATTTTAAAAATATGAAACATCTTTTATTTTCTCTTAATCCAGATATTTTTCTTCATTCTGTCCCCCCTATCCTCCACATAATTGTTGGAAGTAACTGGTTACTCTTTAAGTAGTGTTACTTCTTGCTGTGGTCCTGGGAGAAATTTAAGCTGCTCTGGGATTTCTTTGTCCCTGTTTGGGATCCCCAGTTGCTGTGCAAAGTGATTGAGCTTGATAGAGCCTGCAGCTGTGCCCCTGGGAAGCAAACTGTTGCAGGCAGCTGTGGAATGTCTAGTTCTTCTTTCTTCCCCAGTGTAACTGAGAGCTGCTTCCACATCTGCACAGTTCAGCAAGTTTGTCAAGTTTGTGCCAGCAGCTACAGAAGGGATTTTTCTAGCAAAGGCCCTAAAGGTGTCTCAGAGTTAGAGGTTTTGTTTGATTAAATATCTAAAACTAGGAAGGTAACTTTTTTAATTTAAAAAATTGTCTCCCAGGACAAGAATTAAGCCTATTGCTTTCACTTTTGTGAAATTTGAGTATACTTTTGATAGAGGAGTTCGAAAAATGGAAAAGCAGTAAGTACATTTACATACTGTTGATATTTTTCCAGTTCTGTACAAAGAACTATGTATCTCTGATATCTGACTGGCTAAATTCCCAGAATTAAATAATACTACAATTTCAACACAATTTTCTGTCAATTACACATTGTTGAAAACAAATCCTCTTAGTTGAAAGATGAGGTATAATGAAGTATACAAATGTATTTGAAGAAAAATCTAGGTATTTGTTTAGCATGCTACTTTAAATCACAAAGCTCTTTTTTTGAGAAAGGAAAGCTCTTTCTCTAGTAAGTGTATTTAAAAAAAAAAAAAAACTATGAAATAAACCTGCAGTGTTTTCAGTTTCAAGAATAATAAGAAGAAAACATTGTGTTAAAAATTGCATTGGGCCAGGCACAGTGGCTTATGCCTGTAATCCAAGCACTTTGGGAGGTCGAGGTGGGTGGATCACTTGAGGTCAGGAGTTCAAAACCAGCCTGGCCAACATGGTAAAACCCCATCTCTACTAAAAATACAAAAAATATTAGCTGGGCATGGTGGTGGGTGCCTGTAATCTCAGCTACTCAGGGGGCTGAGCCAGGAGAATCACTTGAATCCAGGAGGCAGAAGTTGCAGTGAGCCAAGATCAAGCCACTGTACCCCAGCCTGGGCAACCCAGTGAGACTCTGTCTCCAAAAAAAAAAAATTGCATTGCAAAATATCCCTTGAAACATGTTTATAATTCAACAGGAATCTAAATTGTTTCATTGTAATTGTTTTTCAGTTAGAATATTCAAACTTTATTGCAGTACCTTCTCTTTAATTTCTTGTTCATTTATTTTTAACTAACTTCGTAAACGAATAGTAATAAATTCGTAAGACTTCTTTGTATTTAGGGGATATATACATATGTACAAAAGAGTTGTGAGAATGCCATTTCTGAGGAGTATTAAAAGTATTTGGCTTTTCTCCAAATATCCTAATGGTTTTACATCTTTTATGTCTTAATGTTTATTAGCATAGGCCAGTCAGGTTTGCTTACATTGTAATAATATTATAGCATCTTTGTGTTTGTGCAGCTAATATATTGATCAAAGTGTGTTAAACTGTTTCATAACATGGTAATGAGTTCATCTGGCTTAGCACAGATTTGTAAATTTATTGCTCACTTTTTCATTAGAGATACAGAGGAGTGTCTTTGTCTCATTTTGAATCTCTAAAGGGGAAAATAATACTTGGGAAATTGCTGCAGAAACCAGCCCTCTTTGCTCTTCGCTTGTACTTACCATGTCACTTGATTTGTTTTCTTTAGCGGCAGCAAGTTGTGCAGAAACAACAACAACAAAAAGATTTTTCTAGATCTAAACTGAATAGAATCCAGCCTAGTAACAAAAATGGTAGCCATTCATTAACCTATTAAATCTGTAGCTTTCAGAGGAATTGCACTTGAAATGTCTTCTGGCAAGTGGACTGGAGGAGAGAGGGCAACATAGAACAGGAAGACAAATTTCTATTCCATTAACCTATTTTTTTTAAGTGTGAATTCATTTTTTTTTTAAATTACAATGACAGATTGAACTATTCTGAGTCAGAAAAGGATATTTTTATCCTTTGGCTATTCAATTACATTTTAAATTTATTCAGTCCAACTATCTGCATCCGAAATGGAACATAAAGTAAAATGCAGCTATAAATTTTTTTCCATGAGACTATTATTTATATATATATATATATATATATATATATATATAAAAGAACAATGTTTGGGTACTTTAATTTGAAGTAGTTTACAGCAAATGGACACAAATGCTAATTTAATCAATAAGTGGTTACAGGTCCCCAAAATACATTTTGGCTTTATTTTTCTCCTGAATAATTATCACTCATACTATTAAGTTAATATCAAGGTCACAGGGGACCCTGCAGTCTCTGGCATTAACATTGTTTTAAGTGATTGATAGTAGATCCTAACTTCACCAATTTTTCTCCTTTCTTCTTTGGAATGCAATGGAAAGATGTCAATTAACTTTCACAGAACCACATATATTCAGTATTTTAATATCATTAGTCTAGGCAGCCTGCTAACATTTTTTCTTAAACTATGGTCCTGAATTGCAAAGTTATCAATGTGGTAATATTGTGGGAATAGTTTTTCCCAAGTAGATAACTAGATTAGAGTTAAATTTTTGGATGGTGATATGGTTTGGCTATGTCCCCCCCGAAATCTCATATTATCTCCACCATGTCCTGGGAGGGACAAGGTGGAGATAAATGAATCGTGGGGGTGGTGTCCCCGATCCTGTTCTCGTGATAGTTCTTACAAGATCTGATGGTTTTAAAAGGGGCTTCCCCCTTCACTGAGCACTCTTTCTTCTCCTTCATACTGCCATGTGAAGAAAGGACATGTTTGCTTCCCCTTCCGCCATGATTATAAGTTTCTTCAGGCCTCCCGAACCATGCTGAACTGTGAGTCAATTAAATCTCTTTGCTTTATAAAATAACCAGTCTTGGGTGTGTCTTTATTAGCAGTGTGAGAACAGACTAATACAAATGGTTTTAGCTCTAAACTCTGCTGAGAGGGTTATCTGAAGTTATAAAAAAAAAAAATGAAATCATTTATAAAATAGGATCACCAAACACATATAATGATTATTTTTATCTTTGCTTAACAAAAATGTGTCTTTGCTGAATATTTGTTT